TAATCCTCAGAGATGCTTCAGTAAGTTTTTCTCAGACTGGACACCTTCCAGGCCTGGGCACAATTCTTTCCCCTGGTACAGCTCTTGTTCCAGCTCAGGTGGTAGCTAGGGGATTCTTCATGATGGCTCCTCTCTCCCCTTGTTCTCTTCCACCCCTTTATATATCTTTTGCATAAGGCGGGAACCCTTTGTCCCTCTGGGTTTCCACCCCCCCAACTGGAAAAGCACCAGGTTAAAGATGGATTCCAGTTCAGGTGACATGATCACATGTCACTACAAGACTTCATTACTCACTTGCCAGCACACACATATACAGGAAGACTCACAGGTAAATACAGCCATCTGCAGACAATGGGAGTCATCAAGATTCCAAACCATCCTTAATGGCCCACACTTTAAATAATTACAATAGGCCCTCAGAGTTATGTTTTATATTTCTAGTTTTAGATACAAGAGTGGTACATTTCTACAAATAGGATGATCACACTCAGTAGATTATGAGCTTTGTAATGATACCTTACAAGAGACCTTTTGCATGAAGCATATCCCAGTTATGTTATATTCACTTATTACCATATTTTTTTCTAAAACTATCCCAGTTACATTATATTCACTTACTATCAAGTTTTTATAAAACCATATAGACTGCACAATGTCACAACATCCCTAAACCCAGGGGTCGTAGTGAAAGCCCCATCTCAGGAGCTCTTCACCCTCAGCTACAAAAATGGAAGAAGTTGGGAAGAGAAGGGAGATCATTCCTTCCCAGGAGAAGAGTTTTTTAATGGGTCACAAGTAGGAAAGGGGTGTACTTTGATATATGCAGTGTATTTTCATAAGAGCAGCTGGAGCTGAGTTGAAAGATGGCCACCCTAAATGACTGAGCTCTTGGAAATGCGACTGAAGAACTCCCTGAGTTGCTTAGCAATACCCCAACATAGGGATGGGTTTGTTCCCTGATGAATGAACATCAGTCAGCCTAGGAAGAATTTTAAAGAGACTGTGCCTTTGTTTCAGAGATTAGCTAGAGAGGGGAAGAAACAGGCCCACCGGGCAAAAGACTCATTCTTTTTCCAAAATAAACAGTGATCAGAGAGAGAAAGCAAACCATAGAACAAACCTGATTTGGCAAGAGACCACGACCATTATGCCTTCCAACTTCTGTGTGTACACAGCCCCTAACCAAAAATAACTCCAGTGGGAAGTTTCCCATCAGAAAATTGCAAGTATATTTTTAAAGCAGATTCTAAGCTCTTTGTGGTAGTCCCTTGTCTGTCCCTTTTGGAACTAAATAAATAATATCTATCTAAGACATATATGAATCCCATTACTATAGCATCTGAGTGCCTCTTAGTCTTTAAAATATTTATCCTCACAACATCTCTGAGGTAGGGTGGTGCCATTATCCCTAGTTTGTACTCAGGGAATAGAGGCCTAGATTATCAGAAGTTGCACCTAACTCCTATTGATTTCAATGCAAATTAGGCACTAAATATCTTTGAGCAGGTGGGCCAGAGAGACTAAGTCTGTGGGAGAGCAAAGAACTGAACTCAACTCTCCCAGTTCCTAGGCTATTTCCCTAACTACTGGATCCTCCTTTCTGTCTGGTAATAACAGCACAGAAATGATAATAATGGTACATGGGCTTGCTACACTAACATGCTTTATAAATTATACAGTAATAAATCATCAAAACATACCTATTCCAAAATCCATGGATCCTCTCCTGTGTCTAAGATGTCCCTGTAGTAGATCTCCTGGATTACATGGCTCTAGGTGTATTGAGCTATATGTAAGAGTGGGGAACTGTGGAGCACAAGAGGTGGGGAGATCATTTGTATGAAATGAGCTATCTCCTGCAAGCAGTTCTTTATCTTTCCATTGTGGAGCAGGTTTTTTCCTTCGGTATGAGGTTTCCTTGTAGGCTGACCTTTCTGCTGAACAGGTCATCTTGCTGTTGAGCCAGTGCTGGACCCTTACTGATAGCTCTTTCTGTGTGTGTTTGAAAAATGTTAAATATGTGACCACCTTATCAAGCTAACTCTTTAATAGATCCTGAACAACTCCTTGGAACAATATGTCAACCTCAGTGGAAATGCTTGCTTCTATGGGGCTTAAAGATTTTGTGACTTCATGTTATTGTATGATTCCTTGTAGATTCACCAAAGAATTTCAAGTGGGATATTATTGCTCCGTGCAAATTACCCATTTGTTTTCTGTTGGATCAAACTGTTTGTCAGTGGGAGAGCTGCAACTTCAGGAGAACTTATGCACAGAAATATGAGGCTTGGCTGGTCCTAGGGAGCAGGATTGATTTTCAGTGGCTGGAGACATCAGAGAGAAGCTGTCCTGTATTCAAACCGAAGCTGCTGAACTGTAAATAAAACTGGAAAAAACTAAGGCAGACTTTGCATCTTTCTTTTTAGAGTTACCACAGAGTAGTTTATCCATAGTTGTGTAGCAAACAGTAGAATGAGCATTTGTAACTGCCTCTTTTTTTAAAATACTAATTCTTTTTTTTTCAAAGAGGCCTTGTTTTAATTATATATTTATATGAACTAATCACTTGCAAATTAGATGGTCTTGTGCTTCTTGGCTCTGCTCCTCATGAGTAGCTCTGAGCCTCTTTCTTACTTTTAAGTTTAAGGATTTTAACTGAGATAGGCCCTTGTACAGGCTGTGCAAGGTCAGGAGACCCCTGGCACCTATATATATATATGTAGCCAGATATCATTTTTAAAAATACTTATTATTTCTCACTCTATAAACCAGTTCTGTAGTGGTACCTTTCCAATGCTGTATGATATATAACACTTTTCTTTTCTTTTGGTTAAATTGTATTTGGCACTACTGCTGTATTTAGTAGGTTTAAGGTTTAAAATAATTATTCTCCAATATTGAATGTCCCCTTGATAAGGATCTTGAAATGAAATATAATTGTGTAACTGAAAATCATATTCCATTTCTACCATTCCAGATCTTGGGTAGCTAAATAGACAGATCCACTTATGAATTCCAGTCTCCTGAAAATTCCAGTTTATGCCTGAATGTATCTGGAAAATAATGTGACAGAAGAAAGTTGCTAATAACTCATGAACCCAGAAATATTTGCATGTTGTTCCTGAGGGCACAGATTATATTTGATTTTTTAAAAACTAACTGACAAAGACATTTTCTTTCTTTCTTTCTTTCTTTCTTTCTTTCTTTCTTTCTTTCTTTCTTTCTTTCGACAAAGGTCTATTCAAAGTTTGACTCAGTGTGCATACAGTAAAATGTAACCGTTTTGTGCTCTGAATCGGTGTCAAAATTGACTTCTTAGTAATCACAGGAAACCCCAAAGTCCATGAAAAATGCATAATACACTGTAAATGAAAATCCAAAACTTCTCAGCCTTTTGTAGCTAATAAAAATGTTGTCTAAGAATATTAATCATCTTAAGTTTTTAACTCATTAGTGATGAAGCTACTAGCTTCAGAAGCACTGCAAGTGCTCTGGAAGCTGTGGAAAACTGCAAATGTTATTAATTCTCACTGGTAAATTAAATCTGCAAAATTGCAATGCAGAGGTTGTATGCAAAGACCATTTAGTGACATATCACTCTACTTTTGCTATTAAATCCCTTTGAAAGAGAATCATCCTTAGCTCTTTCAGACTGTTGATTCTGAAAGAATTCATTTAATGGGCCAGACCTTCAGCTAGGATAAATCAATGGGGCTAGGAAAGAGTAATGAACTCTGTGGAGGTTGATGAATAATAATACTGAATGTTTTTAATTCAAAGCACTTTGGAAAGTAAGTCATTATCATGAGGTCCATTTTACAAATTAGGAAACTGAGTCACAGAGAGACAAAGTAATTCGACCAAGCTCATTCAGCAGGCCAGTGACACAGCCAGAAATAGAACCCAGGGGTCTTGAGTTCTAGGTCAGTGTTCTATCCAAATTGCATACACCAATTTCTCATATTCATATCATGGAAAACATCAGAAGTCCACTTTTTCTCATTCATTCAAAATATTATTGCTGTGCTATTTCTTCACCAAAAAGATAAATGATGGGGAGACACATACATAATAAAGATGAAGAGGTGGAGGGAACTATCTGTAAGGGGAAAGAGAGAAAAACACAAAGACCCAGATTGTGGAGCCTTTACATATGCCAACAAGCACTTAGTAATTCAGTGGGACTGCTTGTATAAATATATGCTCAATGATTTGAGTAAGAGATCCACAACCTAGACCCAAAGGGAGAAAAACAATGCAGGAAGAAAAGAAACAATCAGTAGATAAAAGAATGGGGAAGAGAACAATACACCCAGAGAGAAAAGAAACGGGGGGGGGGGGGAAAGGAAAGAAAAAGACAAAAGAAGAAAGAAATAGAGACATAAAACCTGGTGCATTGATTCCACTACCCAGGGGCTATCCACAGATGTGGAGATGAGGATTGCTTCTAAGTGCCCATATAAGGGAAAATCCTGTACCACAGTTAAAGTACAGTGTAGGGTCTGCCATATACAGGCTGTTATATGTTTGTGGGCTAATACAACTACCATAACTGCACAAATCTACTAGTTGTGTATGGTATCAGCTGGGAATTGTATATTTTGTAAAGTTTTGTTTTTTGATGGACGTGATCTATATTTTGATCTTTGAAGGTGGTTCTTCAATAGCTATGCATAAGCAGAATTCTTTATTGTACTTGTTTGTAATAAAACTGTTATTACTGTGCATTTCTCTGGGTTTATATGCTAATCTTGTGCCAGTGCTAGCATGCACAATACAGCAGTTGGCACACAGGCCTCCATGTGTGAAATATGCATCTTCCCCATCTTCTAGTCCAGAGCTATGATTGATAGTTCTGAAGTTCCTGTGTTATGTGGTTAAGAGTGGATGAGAGTTAATTGGCTGAGACTTAGCCCAGAAAAGACCAGGGTGATATTCGCTGGTTTGAGGAGCAACCAGAAGAAATGTCAGGAGTTATTTCTTCCTCTTTGACTGAGAGTGTGTACCCACCTTTGGCTGATTGGGTTAGTAATCAGGAGGCTGGATAGACTAGCAGCTGTTACTGGATTAGGTGGCAGCTCTACCCATGTCAGCCATTTTACATCTACAGCTGGCTGGTAACTTGCAACCATTTCTTTCAGTGTGGACCTTGAAGCTGTTATTCCTACCTTTGTCTCCTTAAGATTAGACTACTGTCAGCTGGTGCAGAATTTGGCATCTCACTTACTGAGTGATGTCTTTTTCTATGAGTATATTAAACTTGAACTTTACAAACTGCACTGACTTCCTAGTGGTTTCTGGATTTATTTTAAATTGTTGTTTTTGACATAGAGAGCCTAAATGGCTTGGGACCTAGCTATCCAAGAGAGTCTCTCCGTTTCTCTCTCCCTGTGACATATTGCCACAGTTATGGTCAGCAGAAGTACCTGGGATGAAGCCCCTTTGCTATAAGAATGATCTTTGGAACTCACTTCCTTTCCACTGCCTTGATCTTGCCCCATTGAAATCAATTGCAGTTTTCATTTCAATGGGGACAGGATCAGAATCCAGATCCCATTGGCTGGGAATGGTGAACTGCAGCCACCGGAAGCTGCGAGAGGCCATACCTGCAGACGCTCAGCTAAACAAACTGTCTCGTGGCCTGCCAGGGGCTTACCCTGAACAAGCCACAAACCAAGTTTGGGAACCCCTGCTCTAGAGCATTGGATGGTTGCTCTTTTATGACACTTTGTACAAATTGAAAAATAATGGTAGGGTCTATGGCTGTTTCCTGTACTGCCACAGTAAATGTCCTCTGCTAGTGCGTGTTGTTATGATCAACACACTTTCTCACATGTGTGCGCCTAACTCCTCCCTGTGAATATACATAATTGACTTCCAGAGCATCTTTGAGATGATGCAGAAGCCTCAACCCATGTTTTCAAACCATACATATCACACAACAATTTTTGTGCCCCGTGCTATTCTTAGATGGCACATGATCATTACTACATTTACTACATTCATGGTAGTAACTAAGCTATCTTTTGTGGCACCTGTCTGATGTGACATGCTCAAATGTATGTGAGGTGTAATCAGCTTTAAGTCAGTCATTGGATATATAGGGTGTAACTTGCAAAAGCACTCAGCACTGACATAACTGCTCCCGGACATGCAACGGGTACTTTAAAGAATGTTAATGCTGATATGAATATGTAAAGCAGAAGGAAGGCAGGTAGCAGAATTGTCAGCTGTGGTGGTGTGCACATTGATACCAGATTTGATGATTTGCCTTTTTTTCCACAAAGGAAAATTGGAGGCGATACCTAATTCTGTTTGTCTCTCAATAGACATATAAGCCTTATGTGGTTTGGGGGTGGTGTGGTCTCATATATTATGAGGTAAAGATGGGCTGTTTTCATAGCCATATTTATCAGACAAAATGAGAAGCACAAGACATATTAATTGTTTGTTTACAGCTAACATGTGTACCTGAATTATAAAGCATATTTGCTATAGAAGATAAAGTAAATTATCTGTGATGTATTCATGCTCCTCCAGTACTTCTACTCCTCATCCTTTTAATGACTCTACTGGTGCCTAATATTCTTCAAGCCAGGGCATGTGTCTGTACTATCCATTAATTGGGACCAATGACATGGTGGGGATCTCCATGAATTTGAGGGTGAAAATGGAAGGCAGACACCCTCTGCCTGTGTGGAATAAATTGTGAAGAGCATTTACAGTATAGCAATGATGTGCTGATCCTACCCATATTTGTCCTGCTATTATAGTGGCTGAGGACACAACTCAATATGTGATAACGTGAGGGTAAGAAAATGGAGATCATGAGTATGAACGTACTTTTGCTATTTGATGACCTCTTGCATGGCTTATATATATACCTTAGTTTCCTTGTTGCTTATTTGTTAAAGAGGCAACTGAGAAACTGGCAACAACCATGTGAATTTGGGCTCTTTAATTTAGCAGATAAAGGAAAAACAAATTCCAATAGCTAGAAGTTGAAGAGAGAACAATTCACACTGAGAAGACTCAACTTTTTAACAAGCATTGGAACAATTACTAAAAGATATGGTTTCTGTCTATGCTACACATCTACAATTATGTATAGTAAGGCAGTGTTTTTATGGGTGTGGACCTACATGAGTCTCGCACTGATGGGTTATCATTTGGCAGGCTCTCAGTGCCAGATATTTTATGGTGTTTTCCTATGACATTTGCAGCCTGTTGGGTGTTCAATGAGATGCTGCATATTTGAAGAATTTTCTTTGTGGCTGACAATGGATCATGTAGTTTGACGTGGTTGATACAGTACACATAATACAGAGATACCTGTTGAACCACTCATTACTTTCCCTGTTAGTGACTCAGCAACTCAAGACATAGGTGCACGGCCACTTATTTTGATTTTGGTCTGCATGACTGCCTCTAGCAACAGCCACTCTTGTGTAATTTATCGGGTCAAAAGGCCCTCATTAGTTTCAGGGTGTGGATGATACAGTTTGATTCCCATGAAGACGTGACTTGTTGGTATCGCTAGGTGTGAAGTACTTTGCTACTACTTGCTATTATGATAGCGTTGTATGGAGTTACAGCAAAAGGGATTGCATGTCCAGTGTTTACTTGTAAACTGGTCTCTAGCAAAGTCTTATGCAAATGGCTGACTATGATTGCTGTGTTCATTTGACACTGCTATGTAGCCATTTTCCTGCACCACGTATGGAGCCATGTATGGCTGTGCCAGGCATCCTGTGTGATACAGCATCACTCATATTGTATAATGACACCACTGATAACTTTGGCATGCTTAACTCAGATCACACTTTTGCATCCTCTTGCTGTCTTGTTATTGGAACTGCATGATGACAGATAGCTGCTGTTAGCATGTGAGCATTGCCTTTTTCACTTGGTTGTTGAAGATGAAGGCTATGTTGGTGAACTGATAATTGATCATTTCATTCTCTGTGGGGCAGCCTTTTAGTGGTCATATCCTCCTGTGGGATTGGCATGAAGGGCCAAATTTTCAAGAGGGACTCAACCCTGTATGCATTTGTGCACATGCAACTTTGATTATTTTGTATTTGCTAAAGAATGTGCTTTACAGTGTACTTGCATACTATAGCTAGACATTATGGCCCAAATCCTTGGCCCCTGTATAAGCTGCTTTGCATTGCTGAAGCAGCTCCAATCAGTCACAAAGCTGGCATAACAGGCCAACCGAGAACTCCTCCATTGTGAGCAAGTTCCAGGGGGGCATTGAGCCAGTGAAGCTGTGCTGTCTCCTGGTTTTGGGGTTAGAAGAAAGGGGGCTGGGTCAAAGTACCTAGAAAGCACTGGAAAGTAAACTGG